CCAGTTGTCTTCTCCCCATCTCCCCTCCCACCACACCTTGAAAACCCAAGTCCAGCTCCTTCCCCTCCCCTTCCCCAGCAGATGGGGTTAGTCTCCCACCTGCCTCCCCAAGAGCAAAGAACAGTAGAATCTGGCTGGGTTTCCACAACCAACAAAAAACACCTAAGCTTCCCTTTCCAGTACCAGGGTCAATCTTTCACTATTTAAAATCCTAAAAATATGGGTGCCCTACAACAGCTACTGCTATTTAAAATCTTATTAGAATATTTCAGGGCTCAGGATGAATCAAATAAATACTTTCTAATAAAGTTTTTTAAAAAGTCACATCAATGAATTGGTACCTTTTAATACCTAGAAAAGTGACAAATGCCTAAGAGATAATGGAAATAATTCCTGTTTTCCTTTGACCTTGGTGGGGTTTTTTTCCAAATATAAGTGTGTTCTCATTATTTTAAACATTAAGAAGATGTAAAAATCATTTCAAAAGTTGAAGTTAAGACAAAAATCAAACAAATGACCAGCAGATCTTAAAAAGTGCTCAAGTTCAGCAACAACTATTATAATACTGAGAATGCAGAAAAGAAATATATATACATACATATATACATATACAGAGATATATAAAGAAAATTAATTCACAAGAATTTCAAGTTAATTTTTTAAAAGTCTAACAGCCTTTTTTTCTGTCATACTATAAATAATTATATTGGGAAATTGTGGTTGGTCATTTGATCTTCAGGGGTAAATGCACTAATTTTAAGTTAAGAAATAAATAAAACATTTGGAAAAGCAAAAATGTTATCTCTTTCTAGCCTCAAGAGGGAGAAAGCAGAAAGTATCACATAGTCAAATTACTTTAGGCCCTTCAAATTGAGTTGCCTAAAATTACTAGATAGATCAGTTTGTTTAGCTATTTTTTTCGCTTACCATAGAAACAATATAGGCTCAATATGGAAATTTAGAAAACACAATTGAGCAGAAAGAGAAAATACAAACTATCTGTAGCATTAATATCCAGAGATTGCCACTGTGTGCATTAGTCTGACCAATCTCATTTCATGCTAAATTATAAAAATTAATATATTTTATTTTAAGTAAAAATCATATATATATATATATATATATATATATTTTATTATTATGAACTTTTTTTTTTTAAGTAACTCTCACAATGCCTGCTTCATAATATGTGTCAAATAAATACATAAAATTAACCAGGATATGTTAGCTTATTCTATTATTTTTCAACTTTTAAAAATGTCTATTGCCTGGCCAGGAGTGGCTCAGCAGTTGAGCATCAACTTAGGATCCAGGAGATTGGGGTTCAATTCCCGGTCAGGGCACATGCCTGGGTTGTGGGCTCGATCCCCAGTCAGGGGCGTGCAGGAGGCGACTGATCAATGACTCTCTCATCACTGATGTTTCTATCTATCTCTCTCTCTCTCCCTTCCTCTCTCTAAAATCAATAAAGATTTTTTTTTTAATTTCTATTGATTTCAGTGATAAAAAAAATTCTGAAAAAACTCCTAAAGGAAGTTCTTCTCCTAATGCTTTCATAAATTTATGCCTCAATTTTCTTTATTACATCAAATAACCAAATTGAAATCTATAAAATCAGAAATATAAGAATTACTGCTTAATATGCACATCTTTTTAACAGGAAACATTTTTCTCTGTGTGAGGTAAAAAATAAACTGCAGTCATAAAATATTTAAAATGTAGTTGATATGGGGAACTGATTACATGGAATTTAATTAAATTTTAAGGATCAGTTCATTTAAATTAACTTATTTAATTCAAATAAAATTCACTCAGTCACTAATGGCTAATAAATGTAACTCTAATGACATATTCAGGAAGAAATGTTTAGCTTCATATTCAAAGATTTTAATTAAACTAGAGCAGTGTTATTCAAACTTTATCAGGTATCAGAGTCTCTGGAACTTGGTGCTTTTTCCTAATCACCAAATAAATAAATTTTTTCAAAATCACACCCTTTCTTAAACTAGACCTTATTATATACAGGGTGGGGCCAAAGTAGGTCTACAGTTGTCCATCTGGAAAATAATACAGTAATTAATAAATAATAATACAAGAATAAACTGTGTTTTGTGTCCTCACAACTGTAAATCTACTTTTACCTCACCCTGTTATACTGAGAAAAACTATGGGTGGGGGCGGAGAAGAATGAACCATTCTTTGATTTTAGTAGCACAACTCAGTTCAGGTTACATCTCTGAAGAATAGTTTGAGAAGCACTTAACTAGCGAGCTAAAACAGCCACATTTATAGGTGCAAGTTAAATTAGACCTTTTAATGCCCTTTTAACATTTAAAAATGTCAGCAGCAATGAATGATCTCAAGTATCAACTATCTCTGATTTGCTTTTGTCTTCTGCCTTTAGAAAACACAGATTTGGTTCAATGGAATAGCAATCTAGAGTCGCCAGGGCCCTAAAGATAGCAAAACTCCAATGACTCTCTCATCATTGATGTTTCTATCTCTCTCTCTCCCCCTTCCTTTCCTCTCTCTGATATCAATAAAGATATGCTTTAAAGAAAAAAAGATAGCAGAACTCCTGTACTGACACACCACATTCTTGACATCGAGCTAGGCCTGCACAGAACTGGACTGAGCACTGTAAGCTACCATTGAAGATCCACCTTCATCCACCCTGATTTCCCTAACTTCTCAAATCCTCACTGATCTTTGAATTTCTGAACAACTGGGGCTCCCATCCCAGGAGATCATTACACAATCTGTTTGATTTGGTAATGGTTTATATCTCCCCTCCCTGTTCAACCAACGTGCAGGAATGAGATTCTTTCTTTCTTTCTTATGCCAAATAAACACAGTGCTGGGCAAAGAACTCAACAAATATTTGACCAGCTTTTAACTGATTCACTGACATCTGTGAGATTTCTGAGCTTTTATTCAATGCCCCTTTCTTGTGAATAGTTCCTTCAACTGAAAAAGTAGTATACTTCACCTTACAAAACTTTATGGCTTATCTGCCTTCCAGTTTATTTTTAACTCTTAACAAGGCTGCCGCATCATGGCCTTCAGAGGAGAAAATGTACAGTGATAGGGAGTCAGCCTGACAATTTGAGCAAACCAAAACCTCGGGACAGTGGCGATCTGAAAGTGACCACAGAGGCAGCAGGAAGGTACAAACCAGCAGGCCCACTTCTTTTAAGAAAGAACACTTAGCTCAGGAAAACTAGAGCTACTCGCACTTGTATTCTTTCTTTTCAAAATATGTTAAAAGTCATCTACCTGCCTACTTGCCTGCTTTATATTGTAAATTTTTATGACCTGTCCCAGTTTGTACATACTTTCCACTTTTTTTAATTTAGTATGTCACAAATTTTTAAAAAATAAGTCTCTGGAAAGTATATCTATATATTTAAATTACAAACCCAATTCTTACAACATAGAAGCAGCTCAAAAAAGTAAAACAAGAAATCACATCTCTTAGCTTACCATATAGAGGAGAAAATGTGAAGTAGTTCAGGTGGCAAATATTATAGGCTTCAATTCTGACATCTTCCCAGATGCCCTGGGTCGGGAAGGAAGGCCCCCAGTCCCAACTAAAGGAACACTGCTCCTGTAATTTCAGGGGGAAAAAGAAGATAGATTCTGATTACCATGAAATATAAACATTATTTTTTAAAAGCCTTTCCTTTTAAAATATTATAAGTAAAAAATATTATAAAATTTAAAAAGTTTGCTAGAACTGCCAAAACAAAATACCACAAACTGAGTGGCTTAAACAACAGAAATTTATTTTCTTGCAGTTCTATGAGCTGGGAACTGTAAGATCTAGGTGCTGGCAGGGATGGTTTCTTCTGAAGCCTCTCTGTTGGCTCGCAGATGGTGCCTTCTCACTGTGCCCTTAAGGGCACAGTCTTTTTCTGTATACATGCACGCATCCCTAATGTCTCTCTGTTGTCCAAATTTCCACTTCTTGTAAGGACATCATTCATATTGGATTAGGACCCACCCTAATGGTCTCACTTAACTTAGCCACCCCTTTAAAGACCTTATCTCTAGAGGGTTACATTTTGAATCACTGAGGGTTATGACTTCAAAATACAAATTTGGGGAGGAGCACAGAATTAAGTGTATAATAGTGGGGGGGGGGCCCTGTGTATCCTATACACAGGATATGGCTCACAATGATCCCCTCCTGGTATTCATGCCCTTGTGGAATCCCCTCCCCTTGAGTAAGGTTTAGACCTAGCAAATCACTTCTAACCAGCAGAATACAGCAGAGGTGATAGCTTCCAAAATTAGGTTATAAGAGACTGCACCTTGTGCTTGGGGTTCTCTCCCCCACTCTCTCTTGGCAAAGGGGGAAGCCAGCTGCCATGTTGTGAGGCAGTTCTGCAGAGAGGCCGATAGGAGTGAGCTTGGAAGCTCATCTGAGGCCTGCCAACAACCACCTGAGGGACTTGGACACAAACACGTCAGGCCTAGTCAGCCTTGAGATGATTGCAGCCCTGGTCCACAGCTCAACTGTAACCTGAGTGACCTTGAGCCAGAGACACCCAGCTAAGCCCCACATTCCTGACAGGAACTGTGACAATAAATGTTGTTTTAAGCTGATAATCTTTGGCACTATTGGTTTACACAGCAGTAGATAACTAATATATCAACCTAACTAATATATCAATAGATAACTAATATACAATTAGTTAAATTGTGCAGAAATGTTCTAAGAACATAAAATTTAATTATGTACATTTGTTCTTCAAAAGCATATTACATCGAGGCAACAGAATAGTTACTTTTTAGATTTCTCAGAAATATCTCTTAACCTACCACTGTATTTAAATGGAATAACAATAGAGAATATTGCATTTAAGTGGAATAACTGTAAAGAATGAGGAAACACAATAGAAGATTACGATATTTGTAAATAGGTTTAAGAAACTCTAGCTAGACTTGCCAGCCCCTATTTCCTCCAGTACAAATTCAGAAATGCTTGTTTCTGAACTTACAGCCCACAGACAATCAGTTCACTGACACAGGTTGCCAGGGCAGGCATTTCATCCAGTTGTATCCAGCCTGGCTAGCTGTCTCCCTTCAAACACATTTCAATTTCCATATTAATTTATAAAGGTTCAAATTCAAAAGCAGGAGATGGTTCCCTTAAAATAAATCCCTTTTTAAATAGAAATGTTTTAATTTCTACTTCTTTTTTCTAATTTCTATTTCTAACTTTGAAAGAAAAAATTATTTTCAAAACACAGTTAACTACAATGTGTGAGACAATGAGTTCAGCTTTTACAAAGGAACAAGCCCCAGAGGAAGTAATAAGATCTTCCGAATGGAGCATTTCTAGAACACGGCCTGAGGATTTGGCGAAACTGTTCTCACTTCAGTATTATTTCCTAAACTCAGTATTTATCACAGACAGAGATCAGTTCATTTCCATGACAGGGAAAAACAAAGAATTAAAACCACTTCACAGCATCCCTATCTGTTGAAATTCACCACATACGTATCAGATTCTCATGTTTGGAATGCAGCCCATCTTAGGGATATTTATTGGAGTTAGTTCATATGTATAATTCTTTTATTAGGGATAGAGAAACAGAGGAGGGCCAAAATAGTCAACATCTTCTAAGGCAAACTATGTTCCCCACCAAGGGCTACAAATCTCTTCTATTCATACAATCTCTCCAAATAAAAGTTATCACTTATTCAAAAATATTTGTGAAGTGCTTTCTATGTGTCAGGCTGGGAGTACATCCATGTAGAAATCAGGAACAGTCCTGTTTGCAGTGCTCACAATACAGCAAGAAATTCAGGCACTGAATAAATAATCACAAATACAAAGGAAACAGAAAGGGAACACATACGGGGGAGGAGGTATCAAGACAAGATTTCCTGCATAATAGCGACTTTTATCTGGAGACGTGAAGGGTGGGTCCCACTTGTCCAGTGTGTTGAGGGGAGAGGGAAGTGAAGTAACAGCATGTGCAAGAAAGCGAGATACCTTCCAGGAAATGAAGAGAGAGCAATGGAACAGGTGGGAGAAGACTAAAAAAGTGGTCGTGGGCAGACAGAACTAAGAAATCTAGACTTTAGCCTAATGACAATGAGAAACGGTTGAAGAGTTTTTATTGTTGTTTTCAATCCTCACTCAAGGATATGTTTAGAGAGAGGAAGGGGGGGAGAAAGAGGGGAACATTGATGTGAGAGAGAAACATCGATCGGCTGCCTCCCATATGGGCCCCGACAGGGATCAAACCTGAAACCTAGGTATGTGCCCTGACTGGGAAGCAAACTCACAAGCTTTTGGTGTATGGGATGGAGCTCCAAGCGAGCCACCTGACCAGGGCTAGAAAACAGCTGAAGAGTTTTAAGCAAGTGCTGTGATTTGGGGCCTGAGCGACTGTCCTGTACCGTATTCCTTTCAGCAAAACAGGGTGCCTTGGGAGAAGGGTTTAGATCTCAGGTGCAGTGTTGAACATACTGAGCTTTAAGTCCATGTGAACCAGCCAACTCAAGGTGCCAAACAGGCGACTGAAGATCAGGTCTGGAATTAAAGAGAGGCCTGGACAGACAACACAGTATTAGGAGTCCCTAAGACAGGAGAGTACAAAATGAAAGCCAGAAACGTAAGAGTTCTTTTCGACACCTCTTCTCATTTTTCCCTCCTCTTTCAACCCATGGCTGTCCTTTTGATGACGTGGATGCTACTTACCTCTTCAGCGGTTCTCAAATCTGCCCACACTCCACTTGTACTACCATACTTGAGTTCAATCTATCGTCATTTCTTGCATGAGAAAATAAATTGCTGTGGTTGCCTAACTGGTATCCCTACAACTTCATTTGCCTTCCTCCAGTTAATTTTCCACGGAACAGCCAGAATGTTCTTTTCAGACAAAAACTACAGCACTTTCTTAAAACTCTTCAACCATTTTCTAGCCATGGTCAGGTGACTCAGTTGGTTGGGGCGTCGTCCCGTACACCAAAAGGTTGTGGGTTCAATTCCAAGTCAGGACAGAGAGAGGACTGAATAGTAAGACTTTTAAGAGGAGGAGGTTGGTCTGGATAAAGAGACTTAGAAGGATCAGCCAGAGATGTTGGTGAAAGCAAGAAGGATGGTGTGGAATATTCTGAAGAGGGCAGGTGAGGTGATGGGTTCCATCATCCAAACTGGACACAGATGGAAGCAGAGATAAGAGGGGATTTGTGTTGATGTGGAGAAAGTAGAGGAGTCAAAGAACAGATGGAGAATAGCAGTTCCTCATTATATCCACTCCCCACCTCTATCCCATGGGATGCCTGACTGCTGGGTCACACACTGTTCAGTTACAGCCATATGAACACATGGCTATCAACACAAATTTGGGTAGGCTGAGTTAAACAAGTGAAGGTCTAATTTTGACTTACTACTTATCTTAAGGAAACATGATTTAATAGTAAGCCTATCCAACTTAAAGAGAGCTGCTTAACTTTAATAATCACAATTTATCAACTGAGGTTCTGGTCAACGAGTGCAGGAAAAAACACTTAGTATCTTCACAATGAAACCAGTGCCTACATTTGTTGTTCAAATTAAATGCTAATTCCTCAAAATATTTAAAATAGAATTATCATGTAATGCAGTAATCCCACTTCTGGGTATATATATATACATATATATATATATATATGTATATATATATTCAAAATAGTCAAAGGTGGAAGCAACCCAAATGTCCATTAACAGATGAATGAGTAAACAAACTGTGGTCCATACATATAACAGAGTATCATTGAGCTTTAAAGGGGAAAAAAAGCCTGACATATGCTACAACATGGATGAACCTTGAGAACATTATGGTAAGAGAAATAAGCCAGGCACAAAAAGACAAACCCTGCATGATTCTTCTTATATGCGGTACCGAGAGGAGTCAAACTCATCGAAACACAAAGAATAGTGGAGGTCGGGGGCTGGGAGAAGGGGTAAATGAGGAGTTATTTTTTAATGAGCATAAAGTTTCAGTTTTGCAGCATGAAACAAGTTCTAGAGACTGGTTTCACAACAATGTGACTATGCTTAATAATACGAAACCGTACACTTTAAAAAGGGTTAAGATGGTAAATCTTGTGTTATGTGTATTTAACCACAATTAAAATAATTTTAAATAAAAAACTAAATATCACATAGAATACTCATTCAACCAGGAATTAGAATAAATCCAAGTCATCTAGGCTGATAAAACACTCAAAGAAAAATCCCTTGTAGCTTTTGTTATCTTTTTTAAGATTTTATTAGAACCTACCAGTAAAATATAAGAACATCAGCAAATATGTTAATATTTGCAGAAGGTTTCCTAGTAACAAGAATCACTAATAAATAAGAACCTTATAGTCTGGTGAAAAGTTTTTTGGTTTCTGTTTGTTTGTTTGTTTGTTTGTTTTTTAAATCAATGGGTTAGCAGAGTTTCTTCCTTTTGAGATCTATGAAGGCAAATCTTTTCTTTTTTCTTCTTAAATTTTTTATAAGTTTTTATTGATTTGAGAGAGAGGAAGGGAAAGGGAGAGAGAGAGAGAAACATCAATAAGAGAGAAGCATGGATCGGCTGCCTCCTGCATGCTCCCTACTGGGGATCAAGCCTGTAACCAGGCATGTGCCTTGACCGGGAATCGAACGAACCCGGTGCATGGGGCAATGCTCAACCAACTAAACCACACTGGCTGGGCAGTCTGGTAAAAAGTTTGATAAAACATTACCAGTCGCCTATTTGTCTTCTTTTTCTGATGTTACCTAAGTTCTGAAGCATGCTTCAACAACAACAATAACAACAACAAAACATAGAAAGACAAAAATCTCCACAAAACTCCATGTAATCTTTTGGTTCTGATTTTTAAAAATTTTCAAATCCCTCCTAAGGACAAGAAAGAGATGCCCAACTTCCACTGGAGTCTTCAAACAAGCATTTCATACACCAGCACATCCCACCTCAAGGTTAAAGCCCCATCCATTTACGAGACCATTACCTTTCGAATAAAGTTGACATGGCATTCTCCCTTCTGTACACTTGGAGGGCAGTTTGGGGGCACCTGGTAGCAAGTGTGAGCTCTGCTCTGTTGGGCCGCATAGAACACTGGTGACTGGAAATGCAGCTCAATGAAGTTTAGGGCTCTGACCACATGGGTAACATCAAAGCTCTGAATTAAAGGGAAAGAACAAATGTGGAAGTAGCCTCGTGTGTAAAATTTTAGATACAGGCATATATAAGATAGAAGAAGAGATGCATAAAATAATTAAAATCTTTAGATTGAGCCTTTTTGAAGGAGAAAGCACTTTTCCAAAATAATATAACTAAGTTGCTGACTCTTAGTTATAACTGAGTACATTCTCCTACCCAAACGTAGATTTCTAGGTTTCTCCTTCTGCTTTTACTGACAGATGATGGTCCTAGTAAACAGAGCAAGCAGAAAATAGATATAGCTCTGTAATGTCTGTTCCAGCTATTTACATATGGCCTTGAACTGTCAAGGATTTCCTAGACGCTTCATGACAACCTGACTCTTTGGTATAAATAGCATGTATTTCTAAGTCATAAGTTATTTTTGTTTTGGAAAGCCTACCCTTGAAAGGGAAGAGAGATCAGAATATGATCTCATAATGCAATTATTCAGAAAGGAAGGAACATTTTCTTCTAAAATGGTGTGCCAATTGTCATTTCCCATGAAACTCTGGATCACCAAGTAACAGAGAAGGGAACAGCATTTGTTACATACTTCCCAAGTGTCAAGAGCTGTGCCAGTCATTTTATACAGTGAGCTTACTGAATTCTCACAACAACTCCATGGGGTTTATAGTGTTTTCATCATTCTACAAATGTGGCAACTGAGAAATAAAGTAACTTATGCAGAGCTTCAAAGAGCTTGTATCAGCCTGCATGGGCAAATATGCCCTTACCTTTCTCTACTCACAATAACAATGAACATAAAAACATATAAGTGGGCTTTTATTTTAACGTGATGTCATTGTGTACTTACATATCTTTTGAACATGTTGTTTGTTTTCCCAATAGAAACATTATTGAGCAGGACCTCTGCAACTGTATCAACGCCCTCAAAAATCAAATTTACTTTTTGCCATTTGCTGAAAAAAAAGAAAAGATTTTAAAACAAGATGTATAAAGTATTGACTTAGATAAATCTTTTTTTAGTAGTTAAGAACCAAAGAAATAGCCCAGCGGGGCATGGCTCAGCAGTTAAGCATTGACCTAGGATCCAAGGAAATCACGGTTTGATTCCCGGTCAGGGCACATGCCCGGGTTGTGGGCTCAGTCTCCAGTGGGGGGCGTGCAGGAGGCAGCCGATCAATGACTCTCTCATCATTGATGTTTCTCTCTCTCTTCCTCTTCCTCTCTGAAATCAATAAAGATATATTTTTAAAAAAGAAAAAGAAACATTTAAAAAAAAAAAACCAAAGAAATAAACATTTCACAGAAAATATACATTCTTAAAAATCAGTTTCCAGTGAAATTTTCAGAAGTATTAGTTTAATACATTTTTATATTGAGGGATCCTTATCTTTCTTCATAATATTTCAATCACCATAAACCATGAGCACAACTTATAATTTCCAAATTTACTGACTTTTTTCCTAGAACTTCACAAAGTTCTTATTAAAACCAAGTCAAATAATAGACACAAAATGTTTTCACAAACCATTAAATTTATTGACACTATTTAAGAGAACACATTAACCAACTAACAAGTACCTATGAGTGAATATTATGAGCTCAGCACTCTGCTAAGCCTCACAGGAAACTAAAACAGTCTCTCAATTTAAGAAATCTGCGATCTGGTTGGCATTCAAGCCCAAAAACAAAGAGAAAATGTTCAATGTCTTCTACTTTGTAGTATAGTCTTGTTGAACAGACTACGACGATCCTTTTAGAGTTTATGCCACAAGGAAAGAGTTTAAGAAGGAAACAAAAACTTAAAGAAGAATGGAAGAAATAAAATGTGGTCTATGCACAAAATAAAATATTTGGCAATTAAAAGAAATGAAGTACAGCAGGCCCTCAAATAATGTTGTTTCATTCAGTGTTATTTCATTATAATGATGAGAAGAAAAAAAATCTATTCCGGGCCAAGGCCACTGTCTGTATAGTTTATATGTTCTCCCCGTGTCTGTGTGGGTATTCTCTGGGGACTCTGGTTTCCTCCCACCTCCCAAGGATGAATTGGCATGTCTAGATTGTCGCAGTGTGAGCGTGGGTATGAGTGGGTGACCTGAGATGGAAGGGCATCCTGTCCAGGGTGGGTCTGCCTTGCACTCTGACCTGCCTTGACAGGCTCCTGCCACCTTCAACACCGAACTGAAATAAGTGGACTGGAAAATCACTATCTTATCTGTGTCTATCTATCTTTGTTAAGTTATGTACAGCTAATTTTTATCTCAATGTTTAATAGTAAAAGTGTTTTGGGTCTTTATTTAGAAGTTAGGTGATGTTTTTGTGACCAAGATTATGCCTTAGGAGCTTAATTCTTATTTATATCAATTCGCCTATGGTACAATTGGCTTTGTTATATGTAGTTTCTCTTTCAGGAACCTTTCAAGGATGTGACGTGAGGACTTACTATACTTGTGAATGTGACAACATGGACGAACTTGGAAAACATCATTACAGTAAGTGAAAGAAGACGGGCACAAAGAACCACATATTGTACAATTCCAGTTATATGAGATTTCCAGAAGAGATAAATCCATAAAAGAAAATAAATCAGTGGTTGCCCAGGGCTGGCGTAGGGCTTGGGGGAGGGAGATGTGGAGAATGGGGAATGGCTACTAATGGGAATGACTTTCTTTTGGGAATGAGGAAAATGTTCTAAGATTGATTCTAGTGATGGCTGCACAACTTTGTGAATATACTAAACACCACTGAATTGTACACATTAAATGGGTGAATTGTATGGTATATGAATTATATCTCAATAAAGTTGTTATTTTTAAATGAGTAGAAATGCCTAGGTAGAGGGTAGACCCCAAGAGGAAAAGCAAAACCTAAACATGGGCGTGCTAACAGCATCAATAACATTAAGGTAACAGGCTTGATTCAGGTGCAGAAGTTGTCCTGGGAACCAAGGGGAGAAAGCGGGACACGTCAGCAGGGCGGGAGGGGATGCAGGAAGCGGTGCAGGAATGGGTGACATTAGGCAGTATTTTCACGGACAAGCAGATAAGATTAAACTTGATTTGCCAATCAAAAGGAAGTGACTGTTGTTATTAAGCAAGAATACCATGGTAAAATCAATTTGGGAAATGAGTCTAATGTTTCTACATACGAAAGACTGGAAAATGAGAAGACCAAGAAAGAGGCAGAGGCAGAGATGGAAACTTGGAAATGAGAAAGAAGCTGCTGAATCAAGAGACAGACTGAACACAGGGAGATGAAAAGATATGATGAGAAAAAATACCTTAGGCATAGAAGATTGGGGAAATGGTTTTACATTAAGAGAAACAATGAGGCTGTTAAAATATAAAGTAAAGTTTAAGTGGGAAAGTCAGTTGGTTAAATTTTGGATATGTTGAGCTCAAGGTGAAAGAAGACCCTTAATAGAGGTATTTTAAGTATTATCTGGAAGTAAGAGCCTGGACCACAGTAACTCTGTGATATTGAACACCATTCTCTGGCTTTATTTCTCTTTTAAAAGGCGAGTAAATAATTATCCAAAAAAGACCTATAAAAGGGACAGAAGAATTTTTTTTTAATTTAGCAATAATGGTAATAGATACAATTGGGTTACATTCTGCTTCACAGAACATTACTGAAAACTATAACATGCTTTTCCTTATGGCCTCACAACATATGAGGCCAATGCCATAGTCTCAATGGCTGGTTAATACCACACTGAACAAATGATGTATCTCTGATCCTACTGGACAATATTATAAATATATACACTCTATTGATTACTGCAAGCAGGGAGAGAAAATGCACAAAAGAGAATTGACCAGGTCTAGGTGACTCCATTATAACCACGGGAAAAATGACTAAGACAGAATTTCATGACTGGTGATCAGTGGCACCATCCTCATATACAAATCAAAACATAAATCACAGCCCGGCCGGGCGTGGCTCAGCCGTTGAGCAGCGACCTACGATCCAGGCGATCAGGTTTTGATTCCCAGTCAGGGCACATGCCCAGGTTGTGGGATCGATCCCCAGTCGAGGGTGTGCAGGAGGCAGCCAATCAATGACTCTCTCATCATTGATGTTTCTATCTCTCTCTCTCCCTCTTCCTTCCTCTCTCTGAAATCAATAAAGATGTATTTTAAAAAAACAAAACAAAACCATAAATCACATATTCACTTTATAGTACAAGGTTTTAGTCAAATACCTCTCCAATAAGCAACCTAAAAAACACAAGATTATTGCAAAGACAGAAAAAGAAAAGCTCAAATAATAATAAACAGACAGACAGAGAGATACAGATATACACATGTACATACCTAACGTCAAAGAGGATTTGAAATTCCTTGCTGTAGGTCCAGTTATCCATGGAGATCCATCTGTAGTTAAGGTCATTGAATCTGTAGTAAGGATCCTATTGATAAAAATTATGGTAGATGATTAAATATGCAAAAATAAATTAATTAAATTAACATGAAACAAATTATTAATGATAGCTACTTATCACCTAAAAATGAATGAACTCTTGGCTTAGTAGTACAAGCATTTCACATGCCAGCCCATCTCATCCTCAAGGCTAAAGCTCCATCCACTTAAGAGACCTTTACCTTTCAAACAAAGTGGACACGGCATTCTCCATACCAAAAATACTAAAATGTGTTTTTTAAAAAACAGTCCAACAAAATACTTGACATGAAAAAGCTCTGAAATGTAAATAATATAGTTTCATTATTAAAGAACATGCATGGAGATTGGCTTCCCTTGTTAAAAATGAACTCAGAACCTCCAAGGTACTAGCATTAAGTGAAAGACAGAACTTGGACGTGTAGCCATCACTCCCTCATTGCTCTGTGGCTCTCCCTTTGCTTATTGCTGCTACTATCTCAGCTGATCTCCAGGGAAAATTCGCCTCTACTGCCCAAAGGTCAGCAAAACTCCCACTCCTTGGATTCACTTAGCATTTCCAAAATTATCTTCTACTCGGCTTTACCAAATGAGCACAACAAGGATCTCTACAGAGAACACACAGGAAGCACTGATACCATCAAAAACTTACAAAGTTCAGGTTTCCTGGATTAGTCTAGACCAGGTCAGCAAACTACCACCCACAGGCCAAATGCAGCTCACTACCTGTTTTTGTGAGGCCAGCAGAGTTAGGTTGGTTATGTGTAAATAAATAAAGTTTTGGTGGAGAACAGCCATGCGCATTCCTTTACAGATTATATACGGCAGCTTTCGTGCTACAAGACAGACAGCACATGACCCATGAAGCCTAAACCAGTCTCTAGCCCCTTCCTGGAAACGGCTGGCAACCTCTGCCTCAGGTGCCCAGCCTGCCGGGTGTTCACAATGCTGGACATTTGGAGTGTCCAGCCCCAAGTCCTCCTGTTCATCTCCTTAGGTCTTCTCCTTCTCATTTTCCACCCTCTACCTCCCAGATGAGGGCTCTCAGACAGAAGGCTCAATGGAAAGTGGTAAACAGAGCTTTTCGGTTGATCTTCTGTGAAAATGCCCATAGCTCCACAGAGGGAACCAGTGCCAAATGGAGGGCTCCTCCCCATCAATAGGGCAGGCCGAGGGGGATTTCCTCAGGGACCACAACTCCAGACAGAGGAGGAAAAGCAGACTTTGTCCAAGTTCCACAGAGGTAAGGGCTGGATGACCAAGTTAGGTTGGCAAAGGCCAGCTGGGCACTTGCCCAGAGCACAAACCTGTAAGAGACACCTCATCACTGGGTGTGTATCAAGGTGGAAAGAAAGGTACCTGCCAGAAAGTGCTCCTGACTGGAAGATATATTTTGATAAGCTACTAGGGCAGGGAATGGTTGATGAGATTTAATAGCAACCAGTAATCACCAAGCTGACTTCTAAGGTCTGGTTTTGTTCTGCTAAATGAGTTGTACCAGAGCCAGCCAACTTTCATCTTTTTCTGCTCAGCCCCACACACAGGACTCAGCCTCTCCAACGAATAAATACTTAAGGACACAGGTTTGAAGAGGCACCTAGTTATCAGCCTACCCATGTGTCTCCACCCAGCCTTATTTATAACTCTACACTATGGACTCGGTCCAAGACAGTTAAAAATATCACGAGAAGGAGGGTGTGAAGGCTGATGCAATTTCAACATGTCCATCTGCTAAGCCTTGGGGCTGCTAATGATCTGGCTTTCAGGACACAGGTCACCTTCCTGTCTCCCAGATCCTTGAAGGGAGCTGCATGTTGAGTTCGAGGGGGCTGTGTTCTCAGATATATTTTTTCTAGACAAACAGAATTTAGAGGTTAAAATTTTTCCTACTTAAAAGAAGCTGAACTGAAAAGGCTACATACTGTTTTATTCCAACTACATGAAGTTCTGGAAAAGACAAAACTATGAAGACAGTAAAAGGATCAGTGGCTGCCAGGGATTAAGGGGGAGGGAGGGATGAACAGGCAGAGCAGAGGGGGCAGTGAAATTACTCTGAATGGTACAGTAGTGGTGGATACCCACATCTGTCAAAACCCAGAATGTACAGCACCAAGAGAGAATGCTAATGTAAACTACAGACTTTGAGTGATAATGATGCAACACTGTAAGTTCACTGATAGTAATAAAGGTACCAACTCTGGTAGGGATGTTGATAATGGGGGGCTGTGCATGTGTGGGAATATATGGGAACTGTCTTTATTTTCCACTCAATTTTGCTGTGAACCTAAAATTGCTCCAAAAACTGAAGTCTTTAAAAAAAATTCTCTTACTAAAAGAACATACCTTCTTGTCCCTAAAATAAAAGTGGCAGAGACTTAGATTACATGTATAACTACTATTCCAAATGCTAAGCAACCAGCTTAATTTGGTTCCAGATTGGTCTGACCCATTTGCTCATATTAAAATTCTGAGTCCTATTTAATGCAAACAGTGGCTCAGCGTTTCCTCTGATGACCAAGGACCCAGGTAAGTCGCTGAGTTGTTAAGCAAACCCATGAACACTAAAAACAATAACAATATCATTTGTTGACTATTTATTATACATCAGCCTCCAAGACAGGCACTCACACACTCTTATTTTCAAAACAAGCATGGGTAATAAATACCATTTTATAGAGGAAGAAACTAAAACTCCAAAAGGTGAAGTGACTTTCCTGAGGTGCCACGACTAAGCAGAAGTACATCCAGGTATAAAACCAACTCAGTCTAACACCATGTCTGCAATCTTTCAACTACACTACTGTACCTCGCGCCACATAAACTTGTCCTTTTACACCAGATGGCCACTGAAACAACAACAATAGCTGAGAGTTATGCCTAGCGCCCTGTGGCGCAGGCATTATCATCACTCCTTTTATTAAGGCTCCAAGGCTCAAAGTCAAATGACTATTAAGTGGTGGAGCACTGATTCAGACCCAAGAAATCTGGCTCCAGAGTCCACATGCCTCATCATCATTACCTAACACTGCCATCAATGTCACAAATGCTGTCAGTAATTACAATGTCAGTGCTACCTACCAAGTAGGGACCAGGAGACAAACATGCTACGTGGGGCCTGGGCCAGTTATTTATAACTGATATTTACCATACTTACTGTACCTTAACAAACTCTGTGTCAGCCAACCATGCAGATGACAGCATAAGTCTTGTTTTCCTGAATTTCCTCTATTTATATCTGCTTATAGACACAAAGACTCCTTAACCAGGTATATCTCCTCTACTCCACAGTTCTGCTTTAGTCCAACACCTGATTCTATCCCAGACATCATTACTTCAAATGGAGTTAAATGGTCCAGCCGGCGTGGCTCAGCGGTTGAGCATCGACCTATGGTCCAGGAGCTCAAGGTTCGATTCCCGGTCAGGGCACATGCCCGGGTTGTGGGCTCGATCAATGACTCTCTCATCATTGATGTTTCTAACTCTCTCTCGTCCTCTCTGAAATCAATAAAGACCTATTTAAAATAAATAAATAAACAAAGTAATAACAAAGTTTAAAAATTTTTAAAAACAAATGGAGTTAAGTGGAGAAAAGGAGAGTTTATAACTTTCATTTGCAGATATTGTGTTCCTGGACACTTAGGCAAAAACAGTAAAGTTTAAGAAAACATTTATTCAAAAACAAGCAAAACTAAACAATATATTAATTAAGATTCACAGATATTTGGTAAAACCTTAATTTGTAAAAAGCAAGAGAATGATCATTCAGGACAGTGGTTACCTCAGGGAGAGGCAGGCAATGGGACTGTGGGGCAAGGTCACTGCAACGGGATCGGGAATGCGCAGGCTCATAAACTGAATAGCAGGTACATGGGATTCATTTAAATTAGACTTTAAAATTCATAAACACACTCATGCATGTAACTTTCCATGTATCAAGTACTATATAAGAAAAAGAAAAGAAAATGTTCACGGGAAGCTAAGCCACTTTTAATGACATAGAGGTATTTATGTGTTTATTCTGGAGAAGCATACTCTCCAACCCTCAGTTTCTCTACTGTCAAATATGAGCTTCAGCTACAATTCTTACTTCAGAGGGTGCACATAGGTACAAGAGATCTCAAGCTCATAAGTCGGTCAAAACATTTTAGTAAGCTTTACTATTTTTTTCTAAAATCCTTAAAAACTACTAAATAGTGCTTCCCAAATAACACAGCTATAAGTGAAAAGGGGTTGCAATTTAAGGAAGCTACTTATTTTATCACCAAAGAGGATTTAAAGGGGGAATTTTAAGGGGGAATCAAGACATTTTCTTAGCTCAATTCTAAGTGCCAGGCTAGAACTCATGAAAGATTAGGATAAATGCCTGGACAGAGATTCGTGACTGATTTGGGAGATCAGAAGAGATCCGATCACACTTGCTCAGGGAATGAAGATGGGCAGGTGAACAGGTCCACAGATGGAGCTGCTGTCTCTGAGATGGGAGGTGGGTTGAGCTGAAAGGTAAAAACTCAGTGGGGATCCCTGGCCAGGTGGCTTAGTTGGTTGGAGCATCGTCCAGTAAACCAAAGGGCTGTGGGTTTGGTTCCCGCTCAGGGCACACGCCTGGGTTGCAGGTTTAATCCCTGCTCAGGGCATGTACAGGAGGCAGCGGAACGATGTTTCTCACATTGACGTTTCTCTCTCTTTCCCTTCCTCTCTCTCTAAAATCAATGATAGCATATCCTTGGGTGAGGATTTAAAAAAAAATCAGTGGGGAGCAATCTTTTTGCATTGGTTCTAGTCCCACAGGTATTAATCTTGTGAAGCCAGTATAACACCCCTATACTCCTGTTTTCTCAGTTCTAGAATGGGGGTAATAATAGAACCTCCCAGGATCAATGTGAAAATTGCAAGAGGCAACACATAGAAATTGCTCAGAACTGTTCGTGGCACATAATGGGCATTCATTAAATCACAGCTATCTACCGTTATATGTACTAATCTGAAATGATTTCTAAGATACATTAAGTTAAAAAATAAAAGTCAGTACCAAAAATATACCTAGAATTTGTGGGGAGAAATATGTTCATAGACATATCTTATAAGATAAATGAATATATACAAGAAACAGTGGCTGTTTCATGAAGACGATTTGCTTTCATTATATACCCTACTTTTCAAATTTTTTTTATCATTTATATCCTTTATGTATTTCTAAAAGTCATTAAAATTAACTGACCTTGTTTTTTTTGCTTTGGTTTGGTTTTTTTGTTTGTTTGTTTTAAATATATCTTTACTGATTTCAGAGAGAGGAAGGGAGCGGGAAAGAGAGAGAGAGAAACATCAATGATGAGAGAGTCATCGTTGATCAGCTGCCTCCTGCACGCTCCCGACTGGGGATCGAGCCCGCAGCCCAGGCATGTGCCCTGATTGGGAATCGAACAGCGATCTCCTGGATCCTATGTTGATGCTTGACCACTGAGCTACGCCCAGCCGGGCCTGATCTCATTTTTTTTTAAAGACAACAATAAGCTAGATTGATAGCAATGTAAGTAACTAGGAGGGAATGGTTATAAAATGGCATAGGTCAGACCTGCAAGATCCAGCAACTGTCAATATACCTGAGAAGAAAACACAAAAGCAAAAATGGCATTGAAATTCTGGGCCTCATTCACTGAGAAAATATTGGTGCTTCTGTTAGAAATAGGAACAATAAGAGAAACTAAGGATTGGGAGGATTGAGGGAAGAGACATTTGAATATATTGTGTTTCAATATGCCTTGAAGAGTTTCAGGTAGAAAAATGGAGCAAAACTTCCAGATGCAAATCAGGAGAGGGTGGTCTAGAGATTAGGCATTTGAGTAATTCTAGCGGAGAGGTGATGGCTGAAACTCAGAGACTTCCAAGAGACAGAGAATAGAGAAGTGATGTGTGGACTGATCTCCAGGAAATGCTTGCATTTATCAAGAACGTTTAGCAAATAGGATGTTTTTGGTGCTATTGTCACTGTTTTCACTAGACATCTTTAAATTTAAAAGATAACTGTTCCCTTTGCTTACTATTTAACTCTTCCTGCCAACAGAAATGTAGGGTGTGCAAAGAAGACATGGGTTGAATCCTTACCCCACTATTTATTAGATACATGATCTTAGGCCATAATTTCTCTGAGACTCAGTCATTGTGAATAATTATACCTTCTCCACAGGGTTGTTGTGGGAATTACATGAACAGTGCATTGCACATAGAAGACACCAAACAAATATTACATGAAGAAGAACTTCACAGTCTAAGTTGACTATAGACTTACATGTGGTAAGGACCAGCCAGCATTCACCATTTCACTGCCACCATCCTGGTCCTAGCCAGGAATCATCTCTCACCCGTGCAACTGTAATAGTCCCCTACCCGGTCTCCATGCTTCCATTCTTATGTATTGTAGTCTTCACATAACAGCCAAAATGAGCTTCTGAAAGGTAAATCTAATCATGCAAGTCCAAGCTCAAAACCCCTGATTAGCTTCCCATCACCTGTAGAATAAAATCCGAAGTATTTCCCATGGCTTATAAACCCTGGATGATCTGACCCCCATGCCTCCTTTAAACTCATTCCCCTCCCCCTTGGCTCACAAGAGCCCTGCCACACTGGCCTGCTTACTGTTCCTGGAACTTTCAAGCATGTTCCCACATCAAAGTTTCTCTCTCCAGACTCCTGTCTTTTTTTCTCTCTTTCCTGGGAATGTGCTTCTCCTTAAAACTGACCTCATCAAAAAGATCTCTGCTTTAAAAAGCCTATTTATCAAATGGCTATCTTTAACCATTTTTAAAAAATAGCAACCCTTCCCAATCAGCTTTCACTTTCTCTTCCTTTAACCAGCTTTATTTTTCTTCTGTGTACCACCTGTCATTGTGTTACCTACTGATCTCTTTATTGTCATTCTCTTCCACTGGAATATCTATTGGGCTAAGACTATTTTCTTCCCCATTCCATATCAAGCACTTAGAATAGTGCCTGCCACATTGGAGGTACTGAATAAATACTTATGAGATAATTAGGTGAATGAATAAATAAATGAATGACTTTGGGAAGATGTGCTTCAAGTTCTTATGTAAATACAGTATTTGGGCCAGTGTCTGCTCTAAACTATAGAATATTTCCTGAGGTCAGCACAAAAAAAGGAATGCTGTAATAAAGCAGGCATCGTAACAACATCACAGTCTTTCACAATGATACTGATGTTGATGATTATTGTCAGTTGGCAGGAGTTCCCCAAGGCCCAGAAAGCCTCCCCATCTCTCAACCCACTACCATTTATGACCTACATTCACCGTATTGAAACTTAAAGTTTTCCTAAGAATTTATGAACAGATTTAACAGACACTGTAAGTTATTCCCATAAGGAAAAGTCAGTTGTTTCATATCATGAGCAACCTCATTCTCATTAACCAATTACTGAACACTATTGCCTGATATGTGGCCCTGTGACATGGAGCAATAATCTGATTTGCTAAAGCCACTAATGATTTCCCATTGGCTTAATTCCACCTGTGAAATGAGGCAAGGAGAGACCCTGCAAAATGCACACAGGCATTCTCCAGGCATGTGTAAGTGAAGCCTCAGGGTGCCAAAGTTCAGCTATGGTCTATGTCACGAGTTTGGTAACTAAAATTAAAGTACTTAAGTTTGAGAATTATTTAGTTAAAAAACAAACTGGACTGTGGTCAGTGTCAAATACACTTCCTTTCTGACACACATTCTTGAAAAAAAGCTAATGGCAGACCAGATCAGAAATGTTGCATAGCCCTCGTGGACCACCCTGTCCTTTAAGTAAAATTTGAATGACACTCCTGAAGCACAGTGAGCCACAGTATTTCAAAAACACAAGGTTTTTTCAAAACACCTGGGTGAGTGTCCACAGTACAGAGCCCAGGCTACCGAGTCGGGCCAGCCTGGGTTAGAATTCCATTTCTGCCACTTAGTTGCTGTGTATCTTGGATAAGCTCTCTAACTGCTCCAGGCTCCTTAACTCCATGTCATCCATAAAATGCAAAGACACATTCCACAGAGTTCTTATGAGGATTGAGACAACACATGCAAACTTATCAAGTACATCTTGTCCTAGGCAAAGACGATCGGAGAATGGGAAAATGACCTGCAGCAGGTGGAACCATCAAAACAGTGGAAGGTAAAAGTCTGCAAACCTCTGCGCAGGCAGTCGACCAGGAAAACGTCCTCCACAAGTCTGTAAACTGGAGCATCTATTCTCTCACACACACACACACACAGCCCACATCACATGTCCTGAGATGAAAGAGCACCGTTCTTCACATCCCAACCAGATTTAAAAGTCATTCAGCCTTTACACCTGCACTGACAACCCTAACCTTACCCTGGGCGGGTCTGTCTCCTCAACCCACGTGCTGCAAAATCCCAAATTTGACTCCCTGAGGCCTAACAGCAAACCTGAAAACCTGAGACATTACTGAATATAGCTAACATTTACTTAGCAAAAGACGATAGTCCCCTGCAGTGTCCAGGTAGCTGAACCGGCAATGCCCCGCCTTAGGCTCTGTCAGTGTCAACATGCTCTTCCTACCGACCCTCCGGTGAGGCAGGGCAGCAAGCACCCAAGGGCAGCAAGCACCGGCCGGGAGCCAGGCAGGTGGCCCGACGAAACTTCCGCTTCCCAGCCGCCCAGTCGCGGCGCCGCTCAGTCTCCGCCCAGCCGGACCCCGGCGGTGCTCCAGGCCACAGCACAAAACGGCCCCGGCAGCTCCCCCAGGGACCACAGGCTGCACCGGGGAAGTCGGCGCGCAGTCGAGGGGAACAGCCCCGGGCAGGGGGGCTTCCAGGCTGCCGCTGGACCCCCTCCCCACGAAGGGAACGCGGTGCAGGCTCGGGGGCCGGCCGCACACGGTACCTGGATGAGTTTCTGCTGGTACAAGGCGGTGTGCACGCAGCCGGGGACCTCTCCGGGCAGCTCCAGCGTGCGGTTCCCGTTGCGGATCTTCCAATCTCCCCGCAAGCTGAGGCCGAGCGCCGCTGCCGCGGGGTCCGCACCGCACAGCCCGAGCAGCAGAAGCAGGCAGAGGCGCATGCTGCGACCCAGAGGAGGGCGTGCGTCCGGGGCAGCAGGAGGCCGCCGAGGCCACGGCGAGCTCCGGAGAAGCCCGGGCGCCAGCACGGGCCCCGCCCCCGGCCCCGCCTCCACGTCAGCTGATCCGCAGGGACGCGCGGCGTGGATACCGGGGGGGCGGGGCGAGTCAGCCCCTGGGCGCCGCTCGGGGCTGCGATCCCTGCGATCTCCGCGCTCCTCTTGCTCCTTCCCACTGCTCGGGCGTCTGAACGGGAGGAGGACCTGAGCACGGTCATGGAGACGCTCAGATCCCCGGGCGCAAAGGAGCGCGCAGCCGGGGGCAGCCGGGGGCAGCCGGGGGCAGCTCGGGGGCAGCTCGGGGGCAGCTCGGGGGCAGCTCGTCGTATGCGGAGACCGCAGCTGGAGAGGCTCCCCCTGCTTCAGAGCAGCGAAACACCGAGGCACCCCACCACTTTCGTTCCCCAACTTTCCCGAGACCCCACCACTCTGCAGGGGCTGCCTGGCTGCGGGGACGCCCACCGCCCGCAGCTCCGCGGGGTCTCGTGGTTCGCCGCCCTTCAGGCAGCGAGCAGTTAGTAAAAGCGCCTGGTTCGTAGGGTGGTTTCGCGGGCCCAGGGAACCCGCGCGCGGCGTGGGCCCGG